CTTCACGTAAAACGAGTGAAACTGCATTGATACCGAGTAATAATAATAATATTATTCCAAAATATGAAACCCTCCTCCCCTTACGGTCCATCCTCTGCAGTGACATTATCCAAGGCAGGCAGTGCGTTGACGTAGGTGAGCATCGGCAACATGTAAGCCGCCGTTTTACCAGATCCTGTTTCGGCTATACCAATGAGATCACCTGAGATGAACATGGACAATTTCTAAAGGACCGACATGAAGTTACTAATAATCATAATAATTAATACTGACCGGAATAATACCTATTACTCGAAGCAAGGATTGCGCGGATTTAACAACAACAACAACGAAAACATATACAACAACAACAACAACATATACAACAACAACAACAACAACAACAACAACAACAACAACAACAACAACAACAACATATACGACAACAACAACAACAACATATACAACAACAACATATACAACAACAACAACAACAACAACAACATATACGACAACAACAACAACAACATATACAACAACAACAACAACAACAACAACAACAACAACAACAACAACAACATATACAACATATACAACAACAACAACAACAACAACAACAACAACAACAACAACAACAACAACAACATATACAACATATACAACATATACAACAACAACAACAACAACAACAACATATACAACATATACAACAACAACAACAGCCGAACTCCAATATAATCGTTCGTCCAATATATGGGTAATTTATTCCGCCCCTTCTTACGTTGTTCCATCGCCACCGGAATAGCCTGCATCTGTATAGGAGTAGGGCGTATCTGAGCAGGCCAACCTCACTGAACTGCTTCTCCTCTTACCCTCCCAACCTACATATCCAACTTCGTTAATCGCCTTCAACAACTCGACAGGTAAGGGGCTCTCTGCCCAAGTACCTTCATACAGTCATCATACCACAACTCCGTATATTCCCATCAAGACTACACTGCTTATCAATTCTATATTATGCAATATTTCCGAGATTAACGAGAATCGATGGCTATGAACATGTGTTGCGATGATGAGAGTACCCGTTTGGGACTGTGATGATAGCGACAATTTGTTCACTATCATTTGTCCTACAAAATAACACACATTTTCTGAGATTAATGAGAATCGATCTAAAAACAATATCGCATATACAACATAACGATGGCTATGAACATGTAATGTGAACACCCATTTGGGACTGCTGTGATTGCTTGTTTCCTATCAAATTGCTACTATATTTTTCTCAATGACGTATCACGAGTACGAGCAGTAGGCATAAGCCCAGAAGTATAGCATCAGGAGTAGTGAATGTTCAGCAGTCAAAAGCAGATCTTCGAATGATATCATCATCATTGTTATTGTCACTATACTCACGGCACAATGCGAGTCAAACTAAGCCGTGATGTCGGCGTTGGACTTAAACTCACACAAACACACACACACATTGTCACTATACTCACGGCAAGGTATGGGGACCCTTCCCCCTCTGAGGTAGATCTTCATATCCTCTCTGAAGATCTTCCAATCACGTTTGGTCATTTCCGAGCTCTTCTTCTCCGACCAATGAGTCTGATACAATAAAAACATCCCTACCCCGAATCGAACCGAAGACCTTTCCATCGTTAAACCAACCGCCTAACCTACTCATCTAAATACACCACACAAATGCAAGATAGAATCAGCGCTGCACAATCTTATCAAAATAATATCAACTCCATTTCAACAGCATCCTTTTCCTTTTTCACCGAGTTTTACGCCAATTCACGTAAAACGGAAATATTCCTCACTATCAAGAGTTATTCTCATTATTATATACTATGACTGATAATATAACGGAGTTCCACAATCCGTTTTACGACGTGAAGTGGCGTCGTAAAACTCGGTGAAAACCTCGAAAAATATGGCTCGTGAAATATGTTTTTCACTACTGCTTTTGATAATATAAAAAATGCTTTCTCTAGATTTTGATCGGAGACATATTCGAACAATATAACAGTCCTAGGAAAGACTATATACAGAACTTCCATGCCGATGACACGAAACGGACTTGCGCGTAAATCGTTACCCCCTTTCCAAGAGCTCCATAATCACTATCATCATCACTATCCATCATCATCTGTGACGATCTACTCTTCCTCCCAGTAGCAGCAGCAGGAGCAGCCTCTACCATCGTAACCCCCGATGCTATACCAAGCTTGTGACCTGAACAACAATCTCGCTACGCCCAGATGATCGATTATAATACACTCCTCCTACGTTCTTCCGACAGTTTATCATAGAAATTGTTTTTCTTTTTCTGCTCCCTCACATCAACACCAGCAATGAAGCCTCTGCCAAAGAGTAGTTGAGGTTGGACCTGGGCATCCCAAAAAAAATGACGACATGCGAATAGTGATAATTAATTTTCCGACTCTTGTAAAAGTGCGGGAAAATATGTCGGTGACAATATAGATTCTTCTGAAAATTCAGATTGGAGTTTCACCCTAGTGATATGAAAAACACTAGTGAAAAACATATTTTACGACTACTGCATGTCACCGCGAATATCGCGTTTTTCACCGAGTTTTACGACGCCACTTCACGTAAAACGGCTTGTGAAACTCCAATAATAAAATTATATAATTATATTTTACGAATAATAAAACTGTGTTGGAATATATGTAATCGCTTTCCTCAACTGCTGAACTCGGGAGTTTATATTCGGGACCCGAATTTGGGGTGGAAATGTATAGAAACCAATGCAAATTTGTCGAAATTTCCTCAAAAATTTCATACATGCAGTTGACCATGTGTGTATTTTCCCACACTGTAAAAAATATTAAAATCTTCTTCGCTTTCTGTACACTTCTACTACCCGAATTTGTACGTAAAATTCTGTAACAATTAGGACACTCAGTTGAGCTCAGCCGAGGAAAGCGATTACATATATTTCTGCGACACTTCACACTAGAGCGCCGCTCCTCTGTGATAAAGCAAATATCAGAGTACCAATTTTCAACCTGAAATTTTCCGGAAAAAATAATTTTCCCAAAAATTTCTTGTTTTTTTGCAACAGTATTGCAGCTAATCATACCACTCCTCCCCGAATTCTCACCCGATTTCGATACAACTCGTTGGTCTCTTCCTTACTCGTATCCTCCGAATTATCCCACTCGAAATTGAAAATATTTCTGAGGAGGAAAAAATCCATTTTTTGCCGAGAAAAATCTCAATTTCCAGTTCTGAAAAATTTCAGTCCAAAACAACCATCGTAAAAATCGGAAAAATTTCCCAAAATTACCGAAATTTTTCCGATGGTTTTTGCAATTTCCTCCTTTTCTCGTCATCTCTTTCCATCTTGTCAATGCCCAAATAACGCTTCTTGATCAACGCCAACTCCGCCTCCTCTTGCCGACTTCTAAGCTCCTGAGACAAGCGTCACGCGCCACAAAATTATCAACATCTTCTCCAGAACTAATTTTTCCACACAAAATGATTTCGAAACCCGACATCGAAGAGAATACGTCATACGCACCGACACGCTGTTACAACTGTTCTTATTCGTAAACCAAAATTTCGACCTTGTGAGAAAAACTGTCGGACATTTCCAGAGCGCTATCATCGAATCCATTGATACAAATATTCATAAAAATAAAATTTCCCGAAAATTTCCGAAAATTCCCAAATATCATTACATTTTCATCCAAATTCAACATGTGGAGCTCAGCCAAACTGCTTTGTGTTTTTCTCTTAAAATCGTCTTCTTTTCTATCCTTTCTCGAAACCCTCGAACCGTCCTCACTCTCCCTAGCAGCACGCTCACGACGCCGGGCTTCCTCCTCCTGTGAAAAAAATCATAAAATTACAGCGGAGCGATGCAAGTTTAACCATCCTTGAAATTTTTCAGATGAATCCCGCAATAATTTCGTGGCGGGTGACGGTGCACTCGGACGAATACTGTCGTCCATTGGAAATATTTACCATTCAAAAATGAATCGAAAAAAACGGGAAAAAATAAAAATTCCAGAGAGTAGCGGCAAAAAACCGAAAGGTGGTACTGAAAATTTCGGAAAAGATCCGCAAAAGATGTTTTCCCACTTCCTACAAGGTAAAGTTCACTCGGAATTTTTCACTCAGTCAATAATCGTTCACTGACCTCTTTCCTTCTACGTCTCCTTTCCTCCCTCTCCTCCTCTTTAGCCTTCCTTAATTCATCGTCCATCATTTTCTGATGCTCCCGACGTCTGAACAAAATCCACTATCGGAATTATTCACCCCTACATAATCGTCTGTCCAGCAATCATCGCGACACGTTTTAATTCCTCATCACGATATATGCAACCCAGTATACCCACTTTTCGGAAATTCAAATTAGAGAAAATCCACAAAAGATTACTCACGCTATTTCCGGATAATTATATTGGCTTCACTACGAAGCGTGGGAGGCTACCAGATAGATCAAACGACTCCTCTATATGTGGAGGTGTTAGGAAAAATCGGAAAATTCGATTATGCGAACAGCTCGAAGAGATATGCACGAAAAACTTTAATGATGGAGAAATGTCCTGCCCGGGGATCGAACCGGGCTGGACCTATGTAAAATTCATCGATTGAGTCCATGGACGTGGACTCAGTGAGCTCCGCCCCTTCGTCACGAAGGCCTAGTAATAACATTCATTCGAATTACCCTACATAAAATAAATATATGCTATTGTCACTACGATGAGAATCTTAAGTTCAACCACGTTAGATTCAAAACATGTCCAATAGTACCACCTTTTTCTCAAATCCTCCGCTTTCTCCTTAGCCGCTTGCTTCTTCTCCTTTTCCATTTCCTTGGCCATCTTCTCGCGCTCTTTTTTCGTCATAAATTTAACTCTAGGAAGTTTTCCCGCACCTACAGTGTGCTCATTGACGACCTTCCGGAGTTCGCTGGCACTTTTCGGGTGGTCCTCAGTAGCCGACATTTACGAGATGAAAATATCTTCGCCCTTAGAAAAATTTCCAGAAAAAAAATTCCGCAAAATCAATGCTTGCTCCCCCCAAAAAAAATCTGAAAAAAATTCAATTAATGTACAGAAAATTACTCAAAATTCCAGAAAAAATAATTCCCCGAGGGATCGAACCCGCGCCCACCCAACACCACCACCTTCGTTGAGAAACTTCATTTCGACGTAAAATAATCTGCTTCGCTCCGCTAACAATAATAATACCCATCTTATTCACTATGTGACTCAGCTACTAGGACATCATCATCACCATCTTGCAATCTTATTCCATCTTGCACTTCCTCAACGCTACTACCACCAGCATCTTCCTCCTCCCCACCCTTCCCCGTGTCACCATCATCAACCTCTTCTTCTGGTAAGAACGTAAACAACACGTGAAGTTCAATACAACAAATTCGACAAAGTCCTGCACGATTCCGTACAACCTGAAAAATACTTCGTGCAAAAAGCGTGCGCCCAGTTGATCGATTATACAACCTACTGTTTCTCCACATCCTAGACAAGTGCCTCTGTCACTCGGATCGAATACGTGCGAACGGCCAGTAGCGTCTTCGCCCTCATTCGATTCTTCCTCACTCGGCACATGGAGCATCTGATAAAACATCCTTAGCGGAGCGAAGCGATTTTTTTATTTTTACTTCCACTTCAATACTCGCAACCTGCAAGTCGTGTTCAGTCACCAATTCATCAAGAGCATCTTTAATCGCCGTAGTAACCTGACAGAAAACCTAAGATACGCCCCCCCCCTTCTCCATGGATCATCATCTATGGAGTAGGACTCATTCTGAATTTTCCACATTTTTCTTCAATCAGTTTCCAATGTAGATGTGATCGCATTAGGAACATTATTTTTATCGAACCCCGTGAAGACGTTATTTTTCAAATCTACACAAGTCCCTGTCACCTCCTGTAACACAGCCGGAAGATTTTTTCCTGGCAGCGCCAACGCATCTCGGCATAATCGACGGAATACCGGATAAAGATCCGCTCCCCAATGTTCCACAACCTGACCTAATCCGTATCTTACCACGTCAACCTAAAGATACCACCACCCGAGCCAACGCCACATATATCTGCGTAAACCACGAATCATCCTCATTAATGATTTCCACTGCATTCTGTGCCATCTCACTGAATATCCCCTAAAAGGTAAGCGTTGAGGAAATGCAAGATTGCAAGATTCCCACTTACCTGTGCCACCAGCCTCGCCCGCTGAGATCGCATTTCCTCTACCGAACAGCTTCGCCGTATTCTCTGAAATACCCGAGCCACGTCGTATCGCGCATGAGTAACCTCCGCAAACGATAAACGTTCAAGTTCGATTTCAGTGTCTCTTGGTAGGCCAAAGTATCTAGCGGAGCGAAGCGATTCATGAATACAATTTTTACCATTTCTTTACTCTATCTCCATTTGCACTGCAGCCTTACTCACTGAACAATGTCGTGGCAGCACAATTCGACCATTTCGGTACCTACCAAATTTTCCGCAAATTTTCCGTCGATCATCGAAAATTTTCGGAAATTTTTCGAAAATTATCATAAATTTTCCCTCACCTACCAATCCAACACAAACGCAAATGCCTCCGGATTCCGATCCAAGAAAATCGGCGTAGTGATGTCACCATTCGTCCACCGATCCGACACCGTCACTGCAAAAAGCGCACGCCCTGATGATCGATTATCATCCTATACACTACTCACCTGCCAGTACCGTAGAGGGATACTTATCTATTGTACTTTTGGCGAGCTGGAAGATCCTTCCCCCCACATTGAACGTCACTGTTGGTGAAGCTGTTGAAGACTCAACATCCGGAGAGGAAATACAAGTAGTCCACGCACCAGGAGGCTCCGACGACACACCATCTAAAGACGATGCCACAATTTGTCAAATCTCCACATATTCGAAAAGCCCACCGCGCTCGCCCCGGTAATCGATTTTAGGCGCGTTCTTCCACGTAACACAACTGCTTGACCGCATGCGTTTAGCTGGATGAGGTGGACCTAGTTCCCGTCGGACTGTAGTTGACGATACTGTGAGGTTCCCCGGGAGGAAGAAAGAGGACGACGACGACGAACCGGACATGCATACAAATCCTCTGTAGGGCCGTAAGGAACAGCAGTAGTGTGGGAAAATATGTACATGGTCAACTACATGTGTTGGCGATAGTGTGGAAATTCTAAACATATATTCCTACTCCAACACTGTATAGGAAACTCTTCCGAGCTCAGCAGGTGAGGAAAGCGATTACATATATTCCTACTCCAACACTGTATAGGAAACTCTTCCGAGCTCAGCAGGTGAGGAAAGCGATTACATATATTCCTACTCCAACACTGTATAGGAAACTCTTCTGAGCTCAGCAGGTGAGGAAAGCGATTACATATATTCCTACTCCAACACTGTATAGGAAACTCTTCTGAGCTCAGCAGATGAGGAAAGCGATTACATATATTCCTACTCCAACACTGTATAGGAAACTCTTCTGAGCTCAGCAGATGAGGAAAGCGATTACATATATTCCTACTCCAACACTGTATAGGAAACTCTTCTGAGCTCAGCAGGTGAGGAAAGCGATTACATATATTCCTACTCCAACACTGTATAGGAAACTCTTCTGAGCTCAGCAGGTGAGGAAAGCGATTACATATATTCCTACTCCAACACTGTATAGGAAACTCTTCTGAGCTCAGCAGGTGAGGAAAGCGATTACATATATTCCTACTACGTCCCCCCCACATTAAGGAAAAGAGGTCGCAACTAGACATGATCCGTATCTTACGAAACTCAACCTCGAATGGTATCTTTGCGCCGCACTATGAAGATTTTTACTCAAAATCACAAATTCGAATCTGGTTTATCAAACTTCAGCACCGAACCGAAATAGAAATGCTGAATAACAAAGAAAAATATCTTTAGCATGACCGACCGACCGACACATCC